CGTTCCTGCTGAGCATTTCACTCCACCCTTGAAGCAACCACCTCCAGAATTCTTGACTCCCTGGGATAATGAATTTGAAAGATAGCATTAATCTTTCGTTTTATCTACCCAGTCTCTTTCTCTCTTGGGTGAGAGCAGGCCTTTGCTTCCTTAAAATTCCTAGGAATAGTTCAGAATGGGGTGAAAACAAGAGCTCCCAAGCCTGAGGATTGGGCCATTGGTCTCCTCTGGTCGTATTGTCCTTCTGAAGTTTTGATCATTCTTTCAGCAGTAGTGTTTTTTAGGTGTCATAACTCATTCCTGTGTACGGCTGAGTCAGTAGGCTCAGGACTGAGTCAGGAGACATTAAGAATAAGGAGGCCACATAAGATACAGTACAGATCAGAAGATGGATGCTGAAGAATTCAGAAGGCTCAAGGAAAGGAAGAGGTAGAAAAAGAGGAACAGCAGAGGATAGAGTTTGGGATAGTGAGAGTTGATTAATGAATAGAAGTAAATAACTAGAAGTCTGAATTCGGGGAAGGAATGCTGATGGCATGGTGAGTTAACCATAGGTCTGTTAATTGAATCCACTGGCTGCTCCATAGGAGAAAAATGAGGCACTTTGCCTCTGTGTAATCCTACAGTCCTGGAAACTCTAGGAGAAAGTTCTCTTCTGTCCTACAGTTACTATGAACAGGAATTCTTGGAACTGGATTTGAACTCTGAGAAGCCAGAGTGCTTACAGTGTGAGACAGGCCTGAGACTGATTCAAAGGCCAGACTTTTGTCCTAGAGACCAAGAGTGACCCTTAGGGTTTGGAAACCATATATACCTTTATCTCCAGGTATAGTGGCAGGATTAGAAGAGGACAATAGGGATGTGGAGGCAAACAGAATAGAAAGATTTTTAGATTATCTTTGTTACTTTGTGTTGTCATAACAAACACCATTGACTTTAGAGAACAGAAGTTCATTTTCTTATAATTGTGGAGACAGCAAGTTCAAGTCAGGACCTCGGCTATGCCAATCCCTTCTAGGAATCTCTATTCTAGCTTCTAATGACCACTGATAGAAGTTGATGTTCTTTTGTTTATAAATGATCATCTCCAATGTGTGTGTGCATGAATTTTGCTCTTTTTATAAGATACTGATGAGCTCTTGTGGCATAATAATACTTTACATGTGTTGCTACTAACCAAAAGGTTGTTGTTGTTATGTGCCGTCGAGTCGCTTGTGACTCATAGCGACCCTATGTACAACAGCCCTAAACTCCGCTCTGTCCTGTGCCAATCGCACT